CCCCCAAAACCCCAAAACCCCGCGAGGAAATAATATGTTTCAGTTGAGATTTAATAAATTAAATTTTATTTTAATGTCTGCTCTTTGTGAAATATAATTGTCTAGCAATGCAGTTCCTCAGCCAAAGAGATCTGCTCATACTCGCTAAAGAAAGGATTTAATTGTGCTCTAAAATTCAATTGAAGTCATCAAAGGTATAAAAATTTTCTCAATCATTCTAAAATTATCAATAATAATTAATCTACTATTATTAATAGGCAGATTATATTGGTATTCAAATGAAAACCCACCTAAAAATGTTCATGACTCCTATTTCTTCAATGTAGATGAAGTAAAATACTAAAAGTTTAATAATTCTAGATACTTGCATATAAGGGATATAACAAGGATTTCGGCCCTTTAAATCTAGCTTAAATTCATAGATATTGTACTGAGCTTAAAAGAATTTTAAAGGATGATAACTTCTCGAGCTTTAAAATCTTTCATCATTGTCATCCTGACTATAGAAAACGTTCAAATGCATGCCTTTTGATATGCTCCTTTATGGTTATAGCTTACGGTTACACATCTGAATAGGCTTGGGAGCCTTTCATTTAAATTGAGGATACTTTACCCAGCTTCTGGGATGCTGGAGAAACACCTTGCTAAGATTTTAAAATTACTATTTTAGACTGCTTGAGAGGCCTTGAAAAAGGTATCTCACTAGGCTGGTATAATAATCTAAATTTTAACTACAAAGAATATGAAAAAAACTATAAGCTAGAACATGGTGATATGAACTGGATAATCCCAGGGAAAATATTGGCATTTTCCTCACCATCAGATTATAATGTAGATAATGGGTTGCCAAGTAAGTTTTTTGTTCAGAAATTCACAGAAATGAAAATAAAAGGCATCATAAGGCTAAATGAATAGATGTACGAAGAAAATGTATTTAAAAATGAAGGTATAAATATATTTGATATGGAATTTACAGATGGTACCACACCAGATGATTAGATTATTGCAACCTTTATAAATATTATCAATTAAGAAACAAGATTTGGTGGGGCTGTTGCTGTTCATTGTAGAGCAGGACTTGGTAGAACAGGAACTTTGATAGGCTCCTATATAATTAATAAACTAGCATTTGAACCTAGATCTCTGATAGCTTGGATGAGACTATGCAGGCCTGGATCAGTCATTGGATAATAATAAAAATTCCTTTGTGATGGCTATTATAGAATAAGAGCAATGAAAACTACACTATAAGATAAAATAGGAGGGCCAAGTGTTTCTCAAAGTTACTAATAGACTCAAAGTCCATTTTAACTTAGAAAGTCATCCTAATAACCTAGCAGCTTAAAGAATCTTAAATAAAGTAGCATTGGAAGCGCAATACATCATGTATTATCACCGAATCTTAAGTACTCAAACTAAGTAAATATAGTAAATTAAAAAATCAACACAATAATGCAACCTACTAAAGACAGTAAAAGAAATTAGTCTTCTAGTTTGATAAGATCAGGTAGATCTCACTAAGGTGAGCAACTAATGTTTAACCGTAAAAGATTATCAAACTATTTGAGCTTGATGGACCAAGTTATGGGAAAAGAAAATAGTGCTAAATGAGTAAATTGGGGAATAATAATATTCGATTTCCTAATGTGCGTGATGGATTCAAACCTTGATATGCTAACTGTTCATTAGTCTTCTTTAATTACATAAATGTTATCCTTTTAATACAATCTTATTCTGAAATGATGGGGTTTTGGGGTTTTGGGGTTTTGGGGTTTTGGGG